TTACGACATACACAGAATATAATTAGCAAAACAAACAAACTTTTGGAGACGTGGAAGGAAAACGCTTCAGGATAAAGTCTGGGATGATGTAATTAGAGAAGAGGATGAAGCAGAACAAGCAATAAAAAACGACTGATATGGTATAGACACGTTGGTCGAATGGAAAATTACTGATTACCACGTCACAAACTGGAACTGAGTACCACAGGCAGCTGGAACAGGGGGCAGGCCGCCCCGAATCTCGAATGACGGACGATCTAACGGAACAAATGAGGCTAGGAAACCTGTCTCAGGAAGATGCAGAAAGTCCCGACAGCTGGAAACTTGGCGAGAAGAAATTTAAACGGAAAACAATCCAAGAACAAGAAAAAGGAAGCAGGAGCAGCAGGACGAGGAGAATAAGAAGCACAACAACAAGAAGAGACATGCCTATCTGAAAAAAGTATGCTGAATAATTTGCAGTACATCAGATCACTCTTGCCATTACTGGAAGGAGAATGAAGGAAACGAAGCAATAAAGAAGGAAAGACAGCAAGCAAGAAAGGAAAGGACAAAGCAAGAAAAGGAGAAGAAATTATGACTGCCCATTCCCCAGTTCAATTACAGACGTGTACTGAGAGTTTCTGGGGAAACCGAATATGAACAGAAAGATGGCGAACACCTCACTGCTGTCAACAACATAACCGGACTTGCTTGTGACGCAGAAGTAACAACCGCACCATCTAGTGCGGGGTTCTGAACTTCTGCAATTTGGAATCACGCTCCAACAGAAAACACAGCGGGTAAAACCGCACAGGAACAATATATCCACAGAGAACACTCGCGTTTTCTTGACAAGGTCTCGGAACTTCACAAAGTTGTGTGTAATTAGGGAACTTCACTGTCAAGGACGCCTCCTTGGGTCATTTGGCGTGCACATCGATGTTTGTACATGAGTTAGTAAAGCGGTCATTATGTTAATCGATGCGTTATGAACCAGAAAGGTTCTGAGTGCAACTGAAAGGGACAGTCTGAAAACAACATGGCTGACGTTTAATTAAAGCTGACCTCCTGTGTCCGACAGATTATGAAGTGCCACAGTGCACCCTGAAACTCTAGTTTACCTCGTGTCCATCGAGACGGAAATGAAACACAAGATGTGTAACATTACTTCTCCAGATGGCAGCACGAAAGATCCAGCCTGCGTAAAATGTTAAAAGAAATTAATAAATAGCGGATCTATTTCGATATTAAACACTATGCAGTATAAACGGAGGATGCCTTACATACGGAATTTAGGTAGTTATATGGAATGCAATCCGGAAGCTTCCAAAATCGAATAAAAAGGTTCAGGGCATGGTAATATTTCTCAACACGCAGAAAGAACTACTCATAAATATTTGGCAGGCACGTTCATGATTTAGTGCTGAACGAAACTTCACATCTCTACCCATAGTTGGTTACCACATATTGCTATAAAACAATATATCTCATATTAGGATGATTAATGACTTATAAACCGGAAGTATCATCCTGATAGTTGACAGAGAAAATCCACGAAAACCTTCGAAAAATTATACACGGTCGCTGAGCTGAAATTTGAACTCGCGACCTCTCGAATACGAAGCAGGAGTTCAAACTACTTGAGTGAGACGTTCGGTTCATGTGAGACGCCAGCGCACAACCAAGAAAGTCGACATCAGCTCGACTCTGTGATGAATAAAATATCTCGCCAGTGCCCTTTAACATTATATTTCAGCATCCTGCTGCAGTGATGTACCGCTCTACACATTCACTTCCGTCTCTAATGCAACTCTGCTCACAGTAGCTCCTTAATTCATAATAACATTAAAATCACAATCATCTGCTACATGTCTCGGCCGTACGTGGCCATCCTCAGGCAAGTGTTCACTTCTCGAAACTGCTACACTGCACTAGTTCTTAAGACATCTTCAGCGTTACTGACTATTTCGCCATTCACACTAAAATACATTTGTTGGAGAACATAACTGTTCAGCCTTTCCCGGGCTGTTTTTCTCTTGCGACAAGGAACGTAATAGATCCAACATCAGAGGACGCCGAAGAACAACAAGACCTTCAAAAGTGAAAGTGCAGTCAATATGATGAGTTGAAGTTTATTTATGAACTTTTTAACCAAGTGGTAATAATATAACTAGCTACAGTGAACTAAATTTTAAATTCTAAATTTTAACTTTTAACATTTGTATTTTTAACTTATTTTTAACTTATATTTTATAAGAAGAACTTGACACATATTATTTGAGCGTGGACCTGAACAGGATACAGGATCAAAAATAAGTGCAAAACGAATGTGATTGCGTGTGATTGTGCAACTGTGTTCGTACACCTGAGGATGACCTCTTGAGGTCGAAACATGTAGTGTGACAGTAAATAAAAAACGTGTTGTGTGGTCGGTAAAATTAACTTTAATATTCATGTATAATGTATGTTTATGATCCTTCTTATTGTCAAATTTTACAAATTTTGAAATTTGGTACTTGCTTTAATATTACTTATTTGTGTAAACACTGGCGCTGTGTTTTAACATTTTTATTTTTATGTGCGACCTTAGTATGTATGCTCCCATTAGTATACAAAAGTGACATTCACTCGACTAATGGGAGCATACACATTATGGGGGCACATAAAAATAACAATGTTAACGATACCACGCCGATATTTACAGGGCTGAATAAAACAACACAAATAATATTAAAGCAGTTAACAAAACACAACAATTTGTAAAATTTGATAATAACAAGGATCATAATCATATATTATACATTAATGAAATATGGTCGCCGCAAGAGAAAAACAGCGCAGGAAAGACCGAAGAGTTATGTTCTCAAACAAATGTACTGAACTAGTGGAATGTGACGGTTTCGAGAAGTGAACACTTGCCTGAGGATGGCCAAGTATGGCCGAAATATGTAACGGTTGGCTGTGATTTTAATGTTATTTGAACTAAAGAAAGACTTTGAACAGAGTTTCATTAAAGACGGAAGCCAATGTGCAGAGTAGTGGCCTTTATTGCTGACACGGCGACTCTCCTCACAGCTAGGGCGACGTCACACGACGCTGCGATATCGAGAAGCTCTGACCCGTCGCGGCGGTCAGCAACTTAATCGCAATATCCAGCCATTCTCAATTCAGACGTCAACGGAGATGGGATAATCGGGTGTTCAGTAATTGTGTTTCCGTGTTGGCCGATATCAGTCACACATTGGAACACTCTTACAGGGAAGATACACATCACAGTGGAGTATAAGCAAACTCTAAAGGCGTTCATTACTGTGATCAGTTCACAATAATATCGGAAATACTGCAACTGTTTTAGAGGACTGACCCCGATTGGTTAACAAGTGCAAGACACTAGAGGGTGTCAAACTGTAATTCTTCGTTATGAAATGTTCTCTCTTATGTAAAAAGATTCCCTTCAGCAGTCTGGTCTCAAACCCCCCTAATTTATGATCTTCCCTTAGTGTGAGATACAAAGTTTTAACATTGTACGTTTAAAATTACGGTTTTGTTTATTGCAATCTTTATAATTTTAGCCGTCAAATGGAAAAATGGCAGATCCTGGATTGAAAGACAGAGTTCCGGAAACCGAATTTCCCCTTGATTTCTTCTTGAATGTATGCTTAATTCTGATCTCTTACTGCCGTTTCAAAATACGTGTATTTAAACTTTGCAATATTTCTGTAGGAAGAAACCATGAAACATACTGTGCTAGACATACAGGTATACTGATGGAAAAATGACAGTTTTGTAAACCTGAGATGAAATATACAGTGTGTCAAGAGAAGATTAATTAAATCAGTTTTCTTAAATGCTGTAACGGTTCAGGACGACTTTATGAACATCGTAGCAACAAGATATAGATCCAGCACACTTAGTTAATGGTAAATGGTTAATATGAGGGATATCCGAAAGTAAACTGGCGAGCTGTTAAAAAAACAAGCAATGAGAAACAATTTTATTATACACAAGAAATAAATATTAGGCTGGAGCCAGGATAGCGCGATCGATATAGCGACTGGCTACGAACTGGACGGACAGAGGGTTCGGAGCTCGAGTCACGGTACAGTCATGGATTTTCTCTTCTCCACGTCGTCCAGACCGGCTCTGGGATCCATCCAGCATCCTATCCAACAAATACCGGTAGCTACTTCCCCGAGGGTAAATCGGCCGGGTCATGAAGCTGACAACTCACCTCAAATTAGCGTCGAGGTCAAGAAAATGTGGATCTATACATCCACTCGATAAGTCTTCTTGGCGTAGTGCTTAATTAGTTAAGCACAGCGACAATTTTACCTGTTACCATTACATACTTAAGCTGCTTCTGAACGTAGTCACTGTCGGAACTGAGAAACTTGTATCGGGGAATAAGTTCTTGTATGCCTGTAAAAGAAGTCTGCTGCCTGCGAGCTCAGCCACCTTATGCATTGAGAAACACTAAAAAATTGCGTACAACCTTTCAGAACAAAAGCGTGGAATGCTGACATACGGTGTAGTGATCTTCCATGACAATGCGAGTCCGCATCCAGCTGCTCGCACTCGATAAACGTTGGAGCATTTCAACTGGGAATTGTTTGACTATCTTCCTAATAGCTGTGTTCTAGCTCCGAGCGACTACCACCTGTTTACCTACCTGAACAACTGGTTGGGATCACAATGCTTCAACAATAATGAGGAGTTGACAGAAGGTGTCAAAACGTGGCTTTGCTAACAGGCGGCAGACTTATTTCACACAGGCATATAAAAACTTATCTCACGATACAAGCCCCTCAATTCCGGTCACGATTACGTTGAGAAATAGCTTAAGTACGTAAGTATGTAAGTTTTTTCTCATTTCTTGTTTTGTTAACAGCTCACCGGAAGTTACTTTCTTCGAATGGCCCTCGTACATTTAAATATTTCAATTCATATTTATAACGGCATTACAAAGAGCATAGGTCTTTTCCGACGAAATGGTCACTTGAAGGGGCTAAGCTACTGACCTGCTATGAGCTGCAGGACTCCTGCAATTCTGGCTGTGCCGGTGTGAACCACGTACGTGATACAGCAGGCCGCCGTAGCGGTGATGGCTACCAGGAGGCTGAGGGCACTTCCCACACCAACAAGCACGGTGCTAGCCTGCCACCAGGGGCTCGGAATGTCCCAGAACCTGTAATACATGAGCACATCAGTATTTGCTGAAACAAGCGGCCAATCATAATCGGAAGACAGACAGCGCGTTCTTCTTTATTAGTTCATCTAAAACTCTTTAAGAACTGCATAGTTTTGAAAATCGAAAGATTACTGTAAAACTGGGAAGGACGTCACACTACTGAATCGACCCCTTTTGAGGAACAATTACAAAAAGTTCGTCGAGAAATTTAGAAGGATCACAAAAAAGATCACAGCCAGTCGCGACCAGACTTCGAACCCGGAATCTCCAGAACATGAAGGGTGAGTGCTATAACGACGACACAGTCAGTGACGGCACGTGCAATAAGGTGGATTTGCCTATGTTAGCTACTATCCCAGAATTTGCGTTGCAACGACTGAGAAACACCATGAATAACACCAATAAAAATAGCCAGTCTCCGGATCTATATTCGGATCTGGGACCACCAGAATATAAGCAGGGGTGTTAGCCACCACACCATGACGTGTATATCAGGGAAATGTCCTATATATTTATATACATATGCCAAGCTCCAATGACTTTAAAATATTCAGTTTTAAGGTGGAAGCAACACTGCCGTTGGTTCTCAGTGGAATACAACATAAACTTTCGATACAACTAACTATTACTCTGTGAAAGCGAAAGTCATAACAATAAGGTGACAGCTCTGTGAAATACTTTCCGACGCTACACTGATAATTCAAGACACTATATAACGACAAATTTGGAGTTCTGCACATTTTGCCTCTTCTTACTGGTTCGATTGCGGTGTTAGCCCAACTGCGAAGTTATGTAAACTAGAATGATATTATTATTATTATTATTATTGAAAAAGGTAAAGCTATCCCTGCAACAAGCCATGAAGGCCCATATGGTTACGAGAGGTCGAGGCTCCCACAATTTTTTCTAAACAAACGGCTCCCAGATGGCGGTGAGGTTGTCAGACTTATGCGCCGGCCTCCCATTACCCAACCCCCCGGCAGGAAGATTCCTGGTACTTATTCCTGTTAGAGGCTGATTCGATCCCATGGCTAAAGTGCGGCTGGAAGGATTAGGTCAATTGAAAAATCCAGTGACCTCGTCGGGAATCGAACCCGAGACCTTCCGGCATGTAGCATAGTATTGTTACATGTACACCTATTGCTAGGCAAGGTGTTTGTAAACAAGTTGCCGCGACAATAAATGAGACTGTGTTTTCTATGCGGTCTGCCCCAAGCAACAGTAGAATAACTGAGTTATGCAATCCGTTCCTAAGCAACGGCTATGTAAACACATATCCGCGTATCGGACGGTGCTATGCAACGCGGTGACGTCATTAACAATACAGGCTGTTTTCCGTGGGGCCTGTCAAAAGTGCTTATAAGAGAAGTAAATACACAAGCTAAGAGCATCGGAGAGTACAAGGACGAGGATGGAGCATGTCCTAAGTGAACTGTGAAGATTATGGCAGAGAAGTATGAAGTGATTGAAGAAAAGAAGACTTCATAGTGATCTGAAGTGATAGCCCAGTGTTGAGATCCGTTGCCAGGAGACGACGAGTAAAGACATAGAATCCTAGTGCGTGTGAAAAGGTGAACTGGAAAGCGCTGTAAGCTAGTAAGTGTGATTAAGAGGACTTGTAACCAATCATCCGAACTAGAACCCGTTATTTGCGTCACACGCACACGTGACATCATTATTATTATTATTATTATTATTATTATTATTATTCTCCAGGAAAACTATTTGATATACGATTAAAAACTTTTTCAATTCACTATAACTCGAACATATTCAGTGAAAGACCTAGGCGCATACCTTGATTCTAAACTTCATTTTCATGATCATTTTAATTTTATTTTTTCACACTGTATTAAAATGCTAGGTATAATTCCCAGTATCACCTTTAACTATTCAACCCCTGGATGCATGTTCATATTATACTTTAATTTAGTTAGATCCAAGGTTGAGTACGCTTCAGTAGTTTGGAATTCCATTATGTCAACTGATACAAACAAACGAGAACGCATTCAGCAGAAATTTACGGCTTTCTGATTTAAATGTTTTTTTTTCTCAAGCAGATTACTGTTACGATTTTGCTTTAGAACAATTGAAATTGGGCACCTTGCAAAAGAGGAGATATCATTTTGATGCGCTCTTCCTTATTCAAGTTTATCGTGGTTCTGTACTTTGCCCTTCTGCTTTGGCAATTGTTGGCCTTTGGGTCCCTGTTCTATATATCCGAGACTTTCCTATGTCTGTTCTGTTAGTAAAAATTGCCCCTCTGCTAGATGCGCTTCTGCTGCTAATGTTGTTTGTAGGGACGTCGTCTGTGGACCAAACCTCTGTTGTTGAAACATTTCTTATACTGAATTAAACTATTACTACTATCATTATTTTTATTAATTTCGTTATTATTATTGTATGCTGCTCTATTTTAAACTCAAATTCTCACATTGTGGCTTCGTCTGTGCATGTTTACTTCTGTACCTTTATTCATGCTGTGTAATTAATATAGACTATCATTTTTGTATTTTGTTTCTTTAATTGTTTTTGTGTGCTAGCTTTGTAATTAGCCTCTGTGCTGTTAAGTTTGCACGTAAATAAACACGAATTGAATAGAATTATTATTATCATTATTATTAAAATGGAGGGGGCAAGAAGAATTGTCCCCATTATTCACATGCAGGTACTGAGGAAAATTACGAATAACTTCAGCAAATACAGCGGGCGGGAGGCAGGGATTTGAGTACCCATGTGAGTCAGAGACATTTTAACTCATAACCGACCTAACTGATTCAGCGTGTTTTACAGGACGGAAGGTTACAACTTCGAGTGTGGAAAGTCTGGGCAAGGTTATGAACATAAGCAAGTACTGGAGGATTCTGAGACGTCCTGTACACACACACACAAGCACATGCGCGCGGGCACGCTTTTCGAGAGAACGTTTGCAGTTTCACAACTGAGCCGGTAATTTACCAAATGTCTCTACGATGTTGTGACTTTGAAGCCATCAAATTGCCATCTTTCCGTAATGTACGTGTATCAAATATCGCCTCCCACGTTCAAAGAAACTGATGATTTCCCGCTTCATGCTCTACTTACACTTCAAATATACCCGGCCTAGATTTGATCTCGAGACACTGAGGTAGCGGTACTGGGGGGAAAACAGACGTGGAGCACAGACTGTGACATGACAACTAAGGCTGGATTGTGATAGAACCGAATGGATGTGATACTTTTATGAGATTCATAAAGCATAAAACACACCAAAGCAAATTGAATTTCGGTCGAAAATCGATACCGTCGGCTGTTACCATGGCCTATAAAATTTCGAAAGCTTAAATACGAATTTCGATATATTTCAGTAAATATTAAGTTGCCGGAGGGGCCGCGCCATAGCTCAAGCGGTTAGTCGTTGGCTTCCCACCGCCGCGGCCCGGGTTCGATCCCGGGTCTGGTCAAGTGGGACTTGTGGTGGACAAAGTGGCGCTGGGGCAGGTTTTCTCCGAGTACTTCGGTTTCCCCTGCGAATCTTCATTCCATCAAATGCTCCACAATCACCCCCACCTATCATCTGGGGCTGGTACAACAGGCCAGAAGTGGCCGCAGTGCAAGGGACTTAGTCCCACCCCAGTAGCAATGAAAAGAAAGTTGCCGGAGAAATGTTTCAGCCAAAAGCTGTTGTCCCTAGACTTCGACCACAACCAACAGAAGTTTTGGGGGTAATTTCGAGGTTATGAGATAAACTGAACTTTCCACTGACTCTCATCCATTGGGAACATTTTGTACATCATTTTTGGTATCTTATGTTCTTGCTTTATGTTATGTAATCTTATTTTTTGTTTCTGTTAACATTTATTTATAGACATTTCCTTTTTACAATAATCTTAATGACATCCACAAAAATGTATTTAATTATTTAACTACAGAGACACGCGTGAACGGTCGGAATTGCATGAAACCAGTTGACCATTTAAGACTGGCAGCTGGCAACTTTCGCCTGCACTAACGCTGCTACTGGGCTACGGACAGACAGACAAAGTTAAAACTACGATATCCCATTAATCTTTATGAATACTGATGTCAATTACAGGAACATTAAAGATATAAATCCTGACCTTGGCCTGCTCTGCAAGCTACAACCCATCAAAACGACCTTTCGCGTCTTGAACCCAGGGCCAAGAGTGGAGTTTCAGATTCCGCTTAGAACACGCGAGTGGTGGCTGCTGAAAATGCGGATCGGAAACCCAGAGGGAAGTCCCCGGCCTATTATCTCAAACTCTAAGTAAAGAATCGGGCCCCCACGTGCGTCAGGCCTGTCAATTTTCACAGACCCTGGGGCTTGCCTGCAACGAGAGTAAGTCCGTCCTACGACACCGGGATGATTACCATGCCAGGGGACGCACGTCAGACGTTACGCATATGGATACTTGAACAAGAAGTTCTTGGATACTATCATTTGATATATGGACCGCATAGAAAACGATGCGTCCAACCATTCTTCTACTGCTGCGTGTTCGTTGCCTCTGTAAGGTTCTTACCGAGACGTTGCATAGCAACGATTGGAAGAGCCACACATATGAATGGGAGGGGGGTTATGAAGTACGCCTTTGGATAGGCCCAGGTACCTCGATACATGTATACTGATGTACTGTATGTGTACTGATAGATACAACCGACAATTACAGAATTTCAATATTCTGTCAGCAGTACGTCGACGGATCAACATAAGGCCACTTTATACACCACAGTCAAATGGAAAATTCAGGAACAGAGGAAATGATTCAGATTCCGGGACAATTTTCCGAACGTATGCCAGCTATGCCCATTCGCATCCTCCTTGATCTGATAAGACAATATTTGGTGAGGGGCATTAATGGTCAAGGGCTTCATTATACAAGTTTCTCCATCCTCCAGTCACTTTCCTTCTCACGTCCATCCTCCAATCCACGTCGAGGTGCCTCGAATGGTGATTTAGAATGAGGGTTTCCATCGTAAATTTGCATACATCTGTT